TGGGAGCTTTTTTTTGACCGTTACACAAAAACTTCCTCATTTGCAAGCCTGCAGCAGGGCAAAGAGCCTGCACGGGGGAAAGGGAGGCCAGAAGCCCCATTTTCCCACTTCCCATTTTCACCAGCAGCTTCCCAGGGCAGGGCAGGGCAGAGCGGAGCTGGGATGCTCGTGCTGTGGCGGGAGCCGGGGGCCAACGCCAAAGCCTCTGCCCGCTCCCAGGGGCGCTTTCGTCCGCATCGCCCACACAGCACAGAAACAGGCCCAGCCCGCGGGACCGGGGCTGCCTCCTGCAGGCACTCCTTTAGGGAGGGGGCTGGAGCACCAGTCCCTGCCCTCCTGCCAGGGTGGGAAGGAAGGAAACAGCACCTGAGCAAGGAGGGCAGTGCCAAGGCTGAAATCCAAACCCAGCTCCTCTCCCTCTGCCCAGCCGGCTTTCCTGCCCGCCCAGCCTCAGGGCTCGAGGGGGTAGCGGGCAGCGCAGCATGGGGCTGGCAGCCCCAGCGTGGCAGCTCCTACTCCCTCCCACTTCCCCCAGCCCCTCTCTGTCCATCCCCAGCAGCTCCCTCACCCGCCATCAGGCTTTTCCACTTCTGAGCAAACGTGGCTGGGACCTCTTTGCCAGAAGTAAAATCCAGCAATGAGTGCAGGGGGCCGAGCCAGGACTCAGGTCTGGTTTTGCTCCACGGTCCCTGGCTAGCTGCAGTAGCTCCGTGCCTCAGTTTACCCACATGAAAGCTGGCAACAGCGGGACCTAAAACAGCTCAGTGCTCGTACAAAGACACAGCAGGATGCAACCCTGTGCTCTCCTCCCGCTTACCTCGCCTGCCACAAAGAAGAGCAACGGTGCCTCCTCCTCTTTGGCTTTGTACTTGGCAATGATTTTTTCAGCTATGGGCTGAATCAGTTGTTTCGCTGCCTCCGACTCTCCGTCATCCTCTGAATCTGCAGGGCAGAGGTGGGAAGAAAAAGCAAAAAAGTTACGATCAGACGGATGCAAACCGGCCGAGTGCTGGCAGCAATATCCCACAGCACCACCATGGAGGAAACCAGAGCCCGGATGCGAAGCACAAACTTCAAAGCTGCGTGGCTCTGTAGCAATTAGGGAGCAGCTGAAATGCGCCTTTCATGTGAGACAGGGAAACATGTAACAGAAGAGCAGCTCCTGCTCCCAAAATACTTCACTGCTCACTCCCTGGTGCCGCTGCTGAAGCGCAGGGACAAACAGGCACAAAAAAGCCACTTTGCAGTTTCAGCAGTGTCAGGATGTTTTGAAGACCAAACGAACGTGCTGATCTGAGGCTGCCTGCCACCCCTGCCTGCCACCCACCACCCCTCCGCCTCAGGACGGCTGCTCTGCAGCTTTTCTGCTCCAGTCTCCACAGCGGCAGCACTGCGAAGGCAGCTTTGATTTGACAGAGGTAGAGTAGAAAGAGATGGCAACATCAATCAAACACCAGCCACCACTGAAGTTCAAATACTGAGCTGGAAAGAGAAGAGACTGTCCTTGAGCAGCATCGAGATGTGAACGATTTCAATTCGGGAACAACTTTTGGCATTAGGAAAAAAACAAGTAAGAAGGCAGAAGAGAGGTGCCTGGTCTCCCGGTTGCATTCTGCTTGTGCAGCTCTCGTGGTCCCTGATGAAACCATCCGACACGACCGGTCCAGCCCCAAGCTGGGACAGGCACTGCCCACAGCCAAAGCGCGCTCTCTCTCTGCCCTTCCCTTCCTTCCCCTTTGGCTTCTCCAAGCAAAGCAGGGGATGCCAGAGACACTGCATGCTGCATTTTGGGGTCTGTCCTCTGTATGGGACAGTGATAAATACGTAGAGTTGTGGGGTATTTGCAGGGATTGATTTTTCTCCAAACAATGGCTGCTGGCAGCACTCCAGGCAGCCCTGCACACTCTGGCTAACCCAGCCCTAAACTCTCTGGGGGCGGATGTAGATCGGTCAGGATTTATTCACAACTGGCTCTTGCTAAGCTTGCCTCCTCCGGCGGCTGCCTCCTCCTGGGGGTGATGCTGCTCGCGCAGCACAGGCACTGATCTGCTGAGGGGGTCTCCCAGCAGGACACGGGCTGAGCAGGAGCCCCCGTCGCCGACGCCTGCCTCGGTGCAGCGCCAACTTTGTCTCAGCCCCAGCACATCGCCGGCAGATTTCACCAAGCCCAGGCAGCCCCTCAAGCGCCGAGAGCAAGCCCCAGCCGCTGGCCGGAGAGAGCTCTCCTGACAAGCTGTTTGCAACAAGGTGATAGAAAAACTTTGCTCAGAGCAAGATAAAAATAACTCTTTCCAGAGGCCTGCAGTGCCGGCCCCAATCAATCACGCTTGGCGTGGCCAGCCAGTCCTCCCCGCGCAAGGAGAGTATTTTTGGCTCTGTGCTCACGTCCCCTGCTGGGCTATGCTGAATAAATAATCAGGGTCAAAAGGAAATCTGAAAGGGAAGAAGGGAAAGAACGACAGACACGTTATCAGCACTGCAGAGAAGGGTGTGCTGCTCACAAAGGGCGTGCGAGGAAGCAGGACACGAGCCCTGCCCTGGCCCAGGCCCCTCGCACAACAGCGGCAGGCTCAGGGCAAGGGGGACTTCTTCAGCAAACCCCCACCACAGCTCCACAGAGCTCTCAAGGGACAGCCGCACCCCCGCAAGAGCCCAGGACCCCGCAGCTCGCTCCCCGGGATGCTGTGCACACCCCTCTGCAGCCCCCCTACCCTACCCCAGCTCTGCCTGCAGCACAGCTCATCCCAGCCACAGCCCTTGCCTGATTTAACCGTCCATCGCTGGCAGGGAAGCGATGAGGAACGAGCCAGCTGCGCTCCGGATGAGCTCTAAAAAAAAGCGGACCTCGGGAGGAGCTAGAGGCCTGGCGCCAGCCACAGCAGATCTTCATGCGTGGGTTAGCAGTAGAAGAGGGACAGGAGCTTTGGGGAAAAGCCTGCCCTGTTCTGCAGCCAGTGCACCACGGTGGGGGAATCACCCAAGGACCAGCAGAGCAAGCAAGAAGACCCTCTGACTCCCACAGCCCCGCTCAGCTCAGGGATTCAACCCCTGAGCTGTGGTTTCCAGCACAGAGCTCCAATCCCTCCCAGAGATGCTTCCTCTGCCTCCTCTGGTATGTCACGTGTGCCTGAAGTCGCCGCTCCAGAAAGGCCTTCCCTGCCTCCACCATGCCGGCCGTGACAGTGCATTTCTTGTACTCCCCAACACCTAATCAGCATTCCTCTCCACAGCTGCTGAAACATCTTTGATACACAAGCTCCTCT